ACAGAATGGTATCTCAATTCCGGCGAAAGACATGAAAGCAAGGTGGTTATCAACGATCAAAAAGTGCTCACATTTTTTAGGACAGCCTGGATAAAATTTTGTTTACGCTCCTACGTGGTTTAGATGTAGCAAGCCTGAGAATCTAACATAGATGGTCTTTACTTTTACGCTTTGTTAATGGGACCTTATGCTTTGCTTCGAGGTGTTATTAGTTCATTAAGAGGGTTCAATGATTTTATGGCCAATAATTCAACTAATCCAGAACAAGTGCAAATGCCACGTTGCAACACGGGTTATCTATACCAGTCAACATTTGATTCTCCATCAATCTGTGGCTTTATAACATACCACTCAAGATTGAGACAATCTCCTTCCACTGAATGGCACAAATTCTTCATGGAATTTGTCTTTTTTACTTCTGCTTCTCAAAAGAGATTTTTGGCAAAATAGTTATTTGTTTTAGCTATGGGGCAATTCGAATAATTACTGGATTCGCTAGATAAGGAAGCAATGACCGTAGGGCACTGCCATCTTCTGAAAGGGAATGAGAAGTAAAAGAATATTTTCAATGAAGAGAATTGTAGCCATGCAGTGCAAAGTTAGTCTGCAAGCAGTTTTTCTTATAGCTCATTTGAACACAAACTCTTCAGACCACTCGAGTCTGTTAACTTTTTATAAGCTCCAACCGTTATTTCTACTTTGAGTATCTTCTATAAGTCCCCTCTTCCTTTGTTCACCATTGTTTAGAAGATAAATATTTGCTTTTTCAAAGTTGTTCATTTTCTAAGTAAGAGTAAAGATCATTGGCGGTCTGGCTTGAACTCAAACTTGAGATTAGAATGCATACGTAGAACTATTAACAAAAGACGATACTGAAATGCCAAATACCTTTTTTTGCGTCCTCCAACATAGACTATTTGTATCTCCTTTCAAATGTTCGCTTTTCTTGAGATGCTGTCTTATCTTAAGTCTTTGCATGAAAACATTCGTCTGCTCAAACAAGCAGTCAATCTGGAAGCACAAAGCTCATTTGCTCGTATTTTAGTTTAACAAAAACGCTTTTCGAGACTTCAGCTGTCTGATGAATCTCCAAAGTCTGCTCTGCATGAACCAGCCCTCTACAGCTCCTCGGTCGTTCTCTACAATTAAGCTGACTTGTTTGCAGAGAACTGGACCCAAGTGGAACTAATGCTTCAATAAAATAGATAATATTTGAGCGTGCTGCTCCACTTTAGCTTTAGAATGCTTTGATCTTGTAGTTAGAGGACATTGTACTCTTCTGTGAAAGATAACATGTGTCATCTGTAGTCCATGGCATGTAATGTCTCAGTTAACGTCTAACCAATGTCTTGCTTGGCTGGTGAATTTCACTTGATTTTTCATTTCATTGGATGATATAATTTGAAAAATGCCTTTTCTTCAAGGACTTTTGAATTCTTTTTGCTCCCACTATAAAACGCGCCGTGTAGATAAATTGCGTTGGTCGCACAATTTATCCACTGCGCATTCTGTTTCACCGAATCTCTTTCAATGAATACTGTGTTACTGCAACAATTCTGCAGAACCACTTCTTGAACTATTTGAATACTTTCCAAAACATACGGAAAGTTAAACACATGATGTTTGCTCAGAAGCGTTCCGCCAGCATTTGTAGAGGCCAGCGTAAAGAATAAACAGTTCGACCTCATTTGGACTGTCCTCTGTCTAATCTCAGTTGACTGGCTAATTGTTTCCTTATAAATTTTCTGTACAATCCCATATATTTGCTTTTTTTGATAAAATTAGAAAGACTCCTGTTTCAAACTGGCTATGCCATTTTCACTACTTGTACTTGATGTTTCTGCGACCGACGATGACTTTATACTTCCCGGTCACACTTTTCAAAAAGATACGAAAATCCTTAAAGAAAATCTTTCTCTTACCAAAGGGCGCTTAATTCTGCAACGAAAATCACAATTGCATTTTTTTCACTCATATGTCAGCTTCAGCCAGAATCTGGCTTTGCAATCTCTTCAAATATTTACCAGTGTCATGGCAACCATTCGTTGGACAAATTTTTCATCATAATCATCCTCGCACATCCGAAACCTTAACGTTTGTTTAGAACTTGCTTTCTAGCCAATTCTTCTGCCCATTATACCACATTCTCTGCGGCGTTTTTTTAGATGTCTTTGGAACATTTGCACACGGCGCGGTTCAGTGCAATTTCGCGCAGCTGTAATACTAGCTGCCTTTGTCCTATCATTCACACATTGTGATTTTGAACGAAAAATGTTCTAAACATATGGCGATTTTTGCACTTTTCTGTAATCTGTGGAATTATCGTAAAATATACTTCTTCCACGTCTTGGATTTCACAATTTTCAGAAGTGTTCGTTCTCTTTTCCTTTCCTCGTTGATCCTTAAATTCCTCTTTACATTCCTAGGAGATACATTCTTTAGAACTCAACTGTCGCTTTTCCCGACATATTCACTCCGCTCACAATTTAAGCCTGATCTCTTCTGCTGTATGCTTTTCAAGCTCCCTCCACCTTGATGGTGTGGGCGTAACTTCAAGTGCTTGCATCTTTTTGCTTCAACAGATATATCACTGGAGCATTTTAGACCACGCATCAGTCATTTTTGCTCGACTCGAAAATCCTCCGGAGATCCTTGGAGCTTCGAAATTCCTGCTCGTATGTGGTTTTATGTCAACAGAACTCTTTCGCTCAAATTTCGTGTCATTCCTGGCAAACGGCTAGTTTGCCACAGCCCACCGCGAAAAATGGCCGCGTTCTTTATTTAATTGTGGGAAATGTTAGCGCGAATGTCTCTGCAGCGCACATTACTGAATTGTTCATTCATGCATTTGTCTATGTTTCCGTTCCTCATTGAGTTTATTGCAGTTCGTGTGAGATCGGCAGTTTGTTGACACATTAATCTAGCATATAGCGAGAATCGCCATAGTGACATGACCATCACTAATCGTTATATGCGTGCTTGAGATGAGAACAGCTGCCACCTCGAAAGTGTCCGCATTCCTTCATTTCGTCCCTTATCCCTCATGACATGATCACCTCAAAGACTTGGCTATGCAGTGTTCAAGAAAAAAATGTGATTTAATGTTGTTGTTCTGCCGCAGGAAATCCCACGCTAAATTTACATGAAAAAGATATCTTCTCAGAGTGACGGAACCAAGTGATATCAACGCTCAGATCAAGATATTAGTCATGCTCGTGAGAATTCGTTGTCATTCAAACTCCTCAAGCAGCTAGCAAGTTTTATAAAAGAGGACATGTTCCCCTTTATAAACCCTTGTGAGAAACAGGACAAGACAAACACATTTCCCCTTTCTTAGTGTATATGTAGTAAAGCTTATATTGGTTGATTGGTTCCTCATTCCGCATTCCGCGCGCACACCGCAAATTTGTCTAGTTAAGTATTCATTTCAAAAATGATGCATAATCAATTAGTAAACGCCAGGAGAATTTGTGATGATTGAATATCAAATTTTGTGTGACGAGAAAATGTAAGTTGCGACATGACCAACGACTATTTGGGGAACATTTAACCTTTTTATCTCTTTATTTCTCTAAAACCCTCTAGGGCATTTTTATCTGTATGCATGTGCCATCCAAAAACATTTCGTAATAATTTTCGGTAAAATATATCAGTGAACAACTACAGGTACACAGACCGTCGCCATTCTCGAATCATGAACCTTGGAAAAACTCTTTGCTGCCATCTCTCGCTCATTCTTTCAAAAATTTTGAAGTGAGCAAAATGTCGTTCCAGTCTTTCACTTTCGTTCTAGCAAAATTTCACTCTCGCGGTGATTTCATCAACTTGCAATCACTGATTCACAGATTATCTCTGTCCACCCATCATCATCGTGTTGTCCGCTTTCCAATAATAATTCGATGAGATTGCTGCAGAGACGTGGAATGTTTGGAAGTGCGCGTTTTACGCTGAACACTAACGTTCTGTGCAAATATTGCCGCTTTGTTCTAAGAAAATTCTTGCAAAACGACACTGAATGTGAAGGCTTAGTTTTCTAATTTTTCTATTTCTTGTTATCATCAAGTCAGACCCGAGATTTTCAATTTCTCGTTGTTGTTTCATTCTATTTTAAGAATGTGTGTAATGTTTGCGGTGCCTTGTTGTCTCATTTTGTTAAATCATTTCCGGAATCTTGCTCTTACAGCAGAATTTCTGAGTCATGCTTTTGAAAGTGAGAGTCTTTTTTCGCTTCCTTTAGTGTTCCCATAATTATTAAAAATTCTTTCATAACTATTCTGCAGACTTTACAACTGTAAATAAGTTTTCGAAAGCTCCAATCTTTCAAAGTTTGCTCATACAGAATATACAGTAAATTGTAAAATTGAAATTACTGCATACCAAAACAGAAATTAGGACAAGTATCCACTCAACTCGCTCAAACCAATTTCTTTGATGAAATTGTGTGTTTTTTGTCCCTAGAATAATTTGCGAGAAACCATTTCCGCATTGAATTCGAAAGCATCCTAGTCTATGTTTGCACTGGAGTATACACGCAATGCCCTATTTCATAGTAGAAAATTCTAGTATTGAGGTTTATGTGCGAAAAGCGCAATAAAGAATATTCCTAGAATTTTATAGCTCGTAAAAAACACCCACTCACTTCTTTGGAGTACTCTTGCTCTATTCTGAGCTATTTGCGATGCCCTTTTCGAGCTAATACTATGGCTAACTTTGTAAATTTCCTTATGGCTAATCGTCGAATCGATCTGTTTCTCGATTTCTAAGGAAATACATATTTGGTGGCTAAAGCCTCCCGCTTTGTGAATCTCTTCTGTAAACGAGCGAAGAGTTCAATCTCATCTAATTACATATTGTTCACTTTTAAGCTCCTTCTTGAGCTTTTTGGAATTTCGGTTCATTTCCTGAAATCGACCACTTATCATGTTTTACGTTCTTATATTCCTCCATGAATTCAATCGCCTTCTATGCATCAATTTTCCAGAAATTTTCTTTACTTTTTCAGGAATGCGAAAATATGGCCATCCCCGGTGATTCATGCGACGAGAACGATAACGCATGCGCGGGCTACTATGATCGGGTCCCCAAAAATCAGGTGAGTACAAGCACTTTAGTTTCTAAAATCTTGTTACCAATCAGCGTCACACCTTAGTCAACAAACTACTGTTTCGGATTCTCGTTTGTGTCAAGTGAATCCTTCGGTTTCGCTGTGTCAAGGGAAGGCAAACAATGCAGTAGCAAGCTCTCTTTCAGCTGTATTTTCCCCTGTTTTTAGCTATAGATAAACTTCTAGTGTAAAACATTCAGTGGTGAGAATGGAAGTGCTAAATCTTTTTGCGTTTGTAAGGTCAGGATTAAAGTTACTTGCATTTATTTCACTGAATGCGCAGCTTATAAAATCCTAGACGTAAAAATTGAATGTAGATGAGCGATAACTGAATAATCAATGAGAGTACTATTACAAATAGTTGAGCTTTTTTCTGTTTAGACTTATTTGCCCCTGAGAACGGAGAAAAATAAAGATTTCTCAATTTCCATATTAAGAATGTGTGATGTGAATGCGCTACTCGAATAGGTATTCTTCATCACAGAACTTCATAAGTTACTTTACATGGAAACTGTTTTACTGCTACCAAAGGTATAGGTTTTAACAAGATTGCAGGAAAAAATTTTTTGTCACCAGGTGCATTTGAGGCATCTCCTCCCCCCCCCCCCCCCCCAAAAAAGCTATCTATCAGTTCGTTCAATAAATAACTCAAACCCTCACCATTGCTCCAGTTTTTGCGAATGATGGGAACATATGTTAAAAGTACTATAAAACACAACCGTTGTTCTCACGTCTGATAGAGTGATGTATTGAAATAGGACGGCCATATATCTTACATGAAACGAGATATTATAGTACGTGCCTAACCGTAACCTAATTTATCATAATTATGAATCAATGGTATGCTGCTGAACTGAGAATTCTGAATGTCAGCATAGTGATCTATAATACAAATTTGTCGGTGGGCGTAAAATTTATATTTCCAGTGTATAGTGGCTAACACTGTTTCGTAATTTGCAGGCTTCGAAATTATCTGTTTTTGTATTGATGTAGGCCTTTTGCTTTCGAAAATACTCTACTAAGTGAAGAAACTAGGACATAACTAATGACGCAAAACTTCTGCAAGTTTACCGCCATGAAAGAAGTAACGCTCTGATTCATGAAAGGTATTTTCAGAGACCTTTGTGTGCTACGGATTAGGAGACCTTATGTTAGCTTGCGCAAGCACTAAGTGGAAAAACCATTTTTGGTCGAGACTTTGATATTGAAGTCTCCCAATACCGTACGCGGGCTCTGATTGGTCCGCACGGTGAGAATACGGTGCTGGACAGGAGTGGGGGGCTAATCTCTTGACCAAGAAAGAGTTGTAAAAGCTGCCGATTGGGTATTGACTTAGCTAAGGCCCCCTAATCATTTTACACATAAGAGTCTAGGTACCGAGATTTTTTGTGATTTACTGCCTGGGCGGTGTGTAGTAGAAATACTTGCAAGAGGTATGACTGATTGGGATTCTGCAAATGTGTGAAAAGAGACGCCAATTATCGTCGCTTTTTTGCACTAAGTAATATGACAAGACTTCCCAGTATATCAAATTTGTCTTTATCAAATATTTCAGTCATGTTATTTATCTTATCTATAAAGCTGAATGTGTGTCTGTCTGTATGTATGTATGTCTGTCTGTACGTATGTGCGGAATAGAAATTTTTATTTCTGAACCGATTTGGACCAAACTTGGCACACATATACTTTGGGGCAGGGAGCGTGTCATAGGCTACTTTTCGTTATCGATCGACATCGATTTTATCGATTTTTTGCAAAGTTTGAGCTACGGGGCTGGGAGTTGGCACAGGGGGGTAATCGAGCATGCTGATTACAAAGTTATTGACAGGGCCGGGCGGAGCCGGATTTGCCAACTAGTTTATTTATATGTTAAGCACAAGGCGTGTCATAATTAGACCAATCAACGAAAGCTTTTAGAAACATGACTAGTAACAGAGAAGACAAAAACATCCATCAAGTCCACTAAAGTTCAGCTACCGAAAAGTCAGAATAGAGTGTTCATGACAAATACATTAGCTTTCATATTAGTTATCGTTAGAATTTCTGTATTGCCGTTTTTGGCTTGAAGGAATCTACGACAGTTGATAATCACTTTGATGATTGGATCCCGTTTTTTTCAAAATGAGTGCACACGAAACTTTTGGAGCAAAAACTTTGAAACGTGAGAATTACAGAAAACCCAGAGTCTTGCTCCGTCTGCAAATACTATGAATTTTTTGAATACACAATTTCCCACACGTTTTGTGCCTTACTGTGAAAAAACATGCTAAGTACGCAACACTTACAAACTTTTTGTGTACTAGCTTGATTGCTTATATCATGCAGACAGGCGCTCATTTTTCTCCGCGTGATTTTAGGTTCGACTGTTAGCAGCTGTCCCTACAACATTACACATTCTTCACTCATGCATCATTTCCTTGTCATTCCTTTAGTTTTACAAAAGCTTTTTGCTCTTGTTGTGAGATGTATGGGAGAAAGTGACAATAAAAAGACAATAGCCTTTGAAAAGTTTGAAATAAAAATCTTTGATAAAAAAAAGTTTACTATTCATATTCATATACATAACTTAAGCCTGTCTCAGCAAATCTTTAGCCTTTCTTACAAACTCCATAATCTTCTGCATTAGTTTACAGTACTTCTTTGTCAATACAGTCATATTTACATAGCGCAAGTGTAGTCTTCTTGATGCCTACGATTTGACAATTTTTGAAATTGAAATTCATCACAAGAAAAGCGCTGACAAAAAAGAGTCATTTACAAATGAGATGTAATGAATGATTTTTAAATATTCGTTTTCTCTACTGATCCAGCGAGGCAAGGATTTCACTTCTTCAAAACTCTACTATCGCAACATGCTTGTGCTTTATTCAAAGAAGCAAGGAAAATGTACGAAAAGTACATTTCCGTCAAGCTACTCACACAGATTTGCACTTTTTATCAGCCACGCGAAGTCCTGCTAGCTGCATGATGAACTGTGAGAGCAAATTTCGAAGGGATTCTAATGTTAAGTTTAAGACCAGAGCGTCACTCAAATGATTAGCAGTTTTTCATCACTAACTTTGAAACGCAGTAAGTCTTCACATACACGAAAGACTATGAGCTATGCTACACATGTGATCAAGAATTTTTTCACCATTGCAGCCTTCAACCAAAAATTTCTTAGAAGTTTTCAAATTTATCGCTACGCTTTTTCTCCAAACTTTGAGATTATAAGCTCGCTACTTTCGAAAGCATTCCAGAAGAAATTTCGAGAGGTATAGTTATCGCCACGGCAGACCAACGGGGTGGGGCGCTCCCTTCCCCGTAGCGTGGTTTTTTGAAAGTTACTTGCGTGACCTAAAAAATGTGCAAGTGACTTGTTTATATTAAAACTGTAAATTTTTGAAATAATTTCTAAAATTTTTTTTTAAATTTGAAAAGATTTTTCGGTTACAGCACGCAAAAATCTTGGAAGGCATCCCAAAAAATATTTTCAGGAAGAAGTGGGGTAGGGGGTGCGCCTCCCCAAGATTGGGTCGCGTAGTTTTGAAAGTAGCATATGAGTTATAAAATTGTGCAAGTAAATTGTTTTTACTTGTGACATACTACTGAAGTATTTTTGATTTTTCTTTCAAGAATTCAATCTTATGGCTACCGCCGCGCTACCTTTTTTATAGGCTTACGAGGTCTCGAAAATTTGGCAAGCCTGTGGAATATCTTTCAGAGCTTTTCTACTCAAAAACATATTTTTCCTCCCCCCCCCCAAAAAAAAAACTCGCGGTCTGCCACTGGTAGTGATAAATCGAAAAATCGTGAATAAGGCAACACTAAGAACTGCAAAAGCTTAAACGATATAATGCTTGTGCAAACAAAAATTTTCTAATGATTACTTTGTGAGAGCATATGGTGTGAACAAAACTTCGGAAGGCTTTCACATAGTATATGTTATGAGGACCCCTTCAAGGAGCCCTCCCCTATTATAGGCAACACCTAATTCTCTAAAAATTGATGCACTCAATTTTGTAAAATGCTTTACAAATTCTATGCAAATGCTCATGAGTCAGGAAGCCATATATGTTTGCTCAAAGCCTCATCAGCGAATAACTACGTGCGGGTTGCGCTACGGTTAGCTTGGGGCTTGCAGAGTACCATTTTGATTAAAACTATAGGAATTTGTGTATCTTACATAATTTATCTATGAGTAGAGTTTGATTTGGATTATTCAACTTCTCCTCATCGACTAGACAAAATTGTGAAATCTCAAATGCAAGGTCAAAACTACATGATAGCAGTCCTAGAAAAAAATTGCGGAAATTCTGGCCTAAATCTTGACGACAAATTATGAACAGCTCTCATGTTTTTACGAGTAAAGTATAAAACTGACCAGCAGTGGCATCTTCCATGAAATTTTTGGACTTGCCGTGACTGAGGGCCAGACTTGCCAAAGCGGAGTTTGCGCGAGTTCGGAAGTTCTAAAAATATCACTGAAAAAACTTATTGGGACGCAAGAATAGCAAATTACTCTACAGAATTGCTTGAAACAAATTAGAAACATAGAACTAACTAAGGAAGAAAAGAGTGCGCACGCTTAAAGTAGCGAAGCTCGTCACTCTTATCGATTTTTGTCGAGCTGTTGATCTATCGACTAGTCGATTCATATCTTCTTCATGCAACTGGGGTCATAAATGGGAACTAATTTGCCGAATAACTCAGCTTCATAGGCCATGTTCCTATAGATTTCATCACAGATTACGAAAACTGTGGAGTCTCTATAGCAAAAAAAAAAACGCATTTCAACGCGTCGTATTATTTTCTTACTCCCTCAGATTTCAATTTTTCTTTGTCATGAAGTACGAACAGTTTTGACATATCGCTTGAAATCACAATAATCAAGTTCAAACATTCACAAGAAGTCAGCTGCCATCTGACGTTCGACAAAGTATAAAGAATTTCGATAGAGCTTACGTAGAAGTGAACTATTCAACATAGAATGCACGAATACGTGATTCTGGGAGTTTAGGAGATGAAACGAGAAATGCCTAGCCAGGACCAAGACCTGAGATTTTTACTCTTTTCACCTTTTGCTTACTGTAACCTATGATGTGAGTGCGTATCCGGACTAGCTAAGAAATGCTGTACTTCAGAAGACGGACTGAAGCCATGACAGTTGTTAGGGTTACTGCACTAATGTTTTGCGGAGAAGTACATCCTTTAAATGTTTTAGCAAGCAAAATTAGTGTGAATTGTTGTGTGCACACTACCATCTATCTTTATTCGATACCTCAACTTTTTAGTGGATTTTCGACGAAGAATTCGGCTTGCTGCGGAAGACTCGCAAAACGTTTGCCAAAAGCAAACTGGCAGATATGCGGAAGGCCGCAGAGCGCTGCCATCCACGATTTCTTCTCGATTTCTTCCCGATACTCAAATGGCTACCGCATTACAATATTAAAGAGAATCTCTTCAATGATATCATTGGCGGCTTGACTGTTGGCATTATGCACATTCCACAAGGTGAGTTTATCAATGGTCCGATAGATTAGAGGGCTAGCATAGCTTTCGCTTTGCCGGCTACGATTTTTTGGAAATGGCTATGGAAGAGGGCCAAACGGAGAGGATGTGCCTCAATGGCTACTGTTTACGCGCAAGTGTTGTCGCCATTAGAAGCACAGAAATCTTTTCGCTCAAATACTATACCCACCGCAGGCGCACTAAACATCAAATGTGTCAAAATAGACGTCCATTTGGTATTTTGCAACAAGCATATTTAGTGCTGAGCAGGCTGCGAGTACTGATAGGCCACGAATATGACCAGAAAATCATGAAGCTTGACTAAAGGGTACTAGATTAGCTTGGAAATTTTTTCCCTTTTATTCAGTGAGACTTGCTGCTGTTCAGCGAAGCGAAGCTGTATATGATGCTCTTCAAACACTCGTATAAAGTTGATAGAAGGAAGTGAAAAATTAAAATCAGAGAATCTTAATCAGCGAGCAACGTAGATTGATGTGAAGGATAAATGTGTTAGTATTCAAGGGATTAGTAGGATATGAAGCATAAATCTTATTTTTAGCCTGTTCAAATAATTTTAGGTTTTGAGATCCTTTTTCACATGGAACAGACTTGGAAGCCATCTTGGAATCGAATAGTAACTCATTTTCTGCAAATAGAACAAAGTGATTAATGTCGGGAAAAGATTATGAGAGAAGCAAAAAATTTTAAAAAATGACATAAAATTAGTGGAGGGCCTACCTAGATGAGTGTGTTAGGAGAATACTGACACTTGTTCCTGATCACTTGTAATATTTCATGTCAAAATACACAACAAATTAATTTAGGAATGGCTTACTCCTCGTTGGCTGGCGCTAAGCCAGTAAATGGTCTCTATACCTCGTTGTTTCCCGCAATCTTATATATGATCTTTGGAACATCAAGACATGTTTCTCTAGGTAAGATTCCTAATCGGTCCATAGCTTATGCAAACAAAATTCTATTTAGGTGTATTCGCCGTAGTAAGTTTGATGTCTGGTAGCTGCAATCAGCGCGTATCAAGTATCTTGGAAAAAGAGCTATATAACGAAACTGAGTTAAGAAGCTTAGATGAAGATATGAGGATGCAGACATCATTGACAATATTAACCTCTCTTACTCTCTGTGTTGGTATAATTCAGGTAAATATCTAATTCAAATAACTCTGCTATGTAAGAATTTTCAAAATTATTTTCAGATTGCAATGGCTTTGCTTCGACTCGATTTTCTCACTGCATTATTATCGGATCAAGTGAGAATAACAACTGCTTCAAATAGTGAAATTGGCCCCCAAAAATTTGTTTTACAGATCATCGCCGGGTTTACAACGGGAGCATCAGTGCATGTATTTACTGCTCAACTTGATAAAATCTTAGGTGTTCCTCTGCCACGTCGTTCTGGAGCTGGAAAACTATTTCTCGTAAGTCAGAATATTTGGTGTAGTCTTTCTGCCCAGATTTATTATAGTTCCCTATAAAGCTTACATTTTAGATGTACAAGGACTTACTCAATAGTATTTTTGCTGGTATGGCAAACTGGTTCACTTTTGCTCTATCTCTAAGTACAATTGCTACTCTTTTCTTCATCAAATCTTATATAGATCCAATGATTAAGAAAAGATGTCGCATACCAATTCCTTATGATCTGTTTGTGGTAAGTTCCTCAAGAAATCAAATTTTCCCGAATTACAATCAATTCCTAATCTTAGATGATCATCGGTACAATCGTCTCATACGTTGTGAATCTGAACTCTCGATTTGGTGTGAAGATTGTAGGACACATACCCACAGGGTAAGCAGTAGAGTTGGTAAAAGTAGTAAAGTGGTAAAAGTATACCGTGATCCCACTTTTGCAGTCTACCATCACCATCACTACCTGGCGTTTCACTGTTCGGTTACATAATCGGCGATGCCTTCGCTATCGCAGTGGTAAGCTTCGTGGTTACTGTATCGATGGGAAAACTATTTGCGAAAAAGCACAACTACGAAATCGACGTTAGGCAGGTAGGGAATTTTCTCGTTCTATTCGAATAATTAGAAAGTCCAGCGTGTGCTCCATAGGTTTTGGGTCAAATTAGTTCAGGGAAAGTAGAAAACGAAAAACATTATGGGTTGAGCGGTTGAATTCTCACTAAGGCTTAGTATAGATGTGTCCGTGCCAGCGCCGCTCCAACACAGTGCTGGCACCGTGCTGGAACGTCGTTCGATATTACGGGCGGTGCGACGCTGGAACGGCGCTGGCATACTGGAACTCTGAACACTGTCTAAGAAACTGTTGAAAAAAATTGTTCTCACTCAAGATAGTTCACGACTGAGCCCCCATCTCCTTGATCCAATTTCTCATCACTTCCAACATTCGACGTCTTACCTTCATAATATTCCAGGAATTCTATGCTATGGGATTTATGCAAATCTTCTGCTCCGCATTTCCCGTCTGGCCAGCATCAACAGCATTAGCTCGAACGCTTGTCTACGAAGCTGCCGGAACAAAAACACAAGTAATATACTTAGTCTGTTGTGAAATCCAAGTTGATTTTGATATGCGACAACTTTAGCTCGCCACAGTCTTCTCTTCTATACTACTGTTAGCAGTTATATTCTTCATCGGGCCATTCATTGAAGTACTGCCGGTGTGCTTCCTATCATGTATCATCATAGTAGCCCTGAAAGGAATGTTTATGCAGCTAGGAACCATAAAAACATTATGGTCAATGTCAAAAATAGACTGTGTAAGTCAGACTCTTGGACTGCGTCTAAAGCTGCTCGTGCCAGCGCCATTTCAGCGCCGTGCTAGCGCCGTGTCGGAACTCTGTCGTTGAGGCCGATCGATGCAATGCTTCCTCACGAGTTTCGACACGGTTCTGAGGTACGGGCTCTGGCACGGTGTCAGCACGTGCTTACAGAACCATTTCAGCATGTTAAATACAGAGAGCAATTTCAGGCAATTTTTGTGGTGAGTTTTGCTGCTACAGTGCTCTACGACGTAATCGAGGGACTCATGATCGGCGTAGTTTTTGCTGCTGCTCTGCTCATATTCGGCATTATGAAGTAAGTTAGTATCATGATGCTTTCCCGCATCTTCTTCTCCATCAAAAAGTCAAGTAAATGTCATTCTAGCTCAAAAGTAGTCGAAATTGGTCGATTAAGCCACAATGAGGGTAAGACCTACTTCCAGCCCATTGAAAAGTACAGGTTAGAACGAAACTGTTACAACTTATTCAGAAATTCAAAAAATTCTTTACAGAGACGCTGCTATTCGCGACGGAGTGTGCTGCGTTAGATTCTCAGCTCCTCTTGTATATATAAACGCGGAACATTTCAAAAAAGGTGTTGAGAGTATAGTACAATTACCAGCACTGGAGCGAAGGTGAATGCTTGAGGCCTTGATTTTTTTATCGCTCCCCCCCCCTTACAGCTGCTTCCACACTTGCACTTGTTCCGCCGTTCCAGCCGACGTTAGCATAGTGCCGTACCAGCGAAACCAATCAATAGGCGGTAGGCTAACGCATGCATATCGATTGGGCTCTGGCACGGCGCTGGAACGACACTGACACAGACAATTCTAAATGCATTTTTAGTTCTAATCATTTTGTATGCCATATCATACCATTTTTCATAATGTTCATGCTTTTACAGGAGACTGGAAGATCTCAGTGAACGTGAAAAGTCTCTCAGGGACAGCCAAAAAGATTCTGTGTGTACACTACGTAGTGCAGCAATAGTAGCACCAGACTTACTTGAAAAAGTAGTTTTCTTCCTTCCAAAGGTTTCACATGTATGGAATTCATAGTGGAAATATTTCCAGAAAATTTCGTTTACCGAAGTGAAACATGAACCCGTAAGAGCGGTAGTGATTGACTTGTCTACAGTACCTCATGTGGACGTTACGGGTGCAAAGTGCCTCATCGATGTGAGTATGGAACCTTCTAATATCTGTAATGGACACAACCAAAGAATCTCATGAAAAATGTGTTTCAGATATTCAAGGACCAGCGAATCAAAGGAGTCAACGTGCTTTTTGCAGCTGCCACATGTCAGTCATGTTTTCCATCTTGGACCTGCTTCAATTTTTCTCTTTTTCAGTGGAAGTTCTGGGGCGGTTACAATGCGTGCTTGATTCTGCAGACACGGATATTCTTTCATACTTCTATCCATCTATCGATGATGCACTCAATAATGTCGATCCGGAGCCAGCCACAAAGGGTTAAACGCAATTATTTATATGAAAACGTGTATGAACTTTGAACGAGTTCCATTGTTGTGATTTTACTTGCAATTTAGCGATAGAGACGGAAACATAGTAAATTTTGCCATTTGTAAATCTTGTGTCAATAAAGTTTTTTGTTCTCGTCGGGATTGTTTTGTCGAATATCCGCTAATGGTTGGCTGATATTAACAAACCTTGCAGATGTTTTACAACAATTACACATTAACAATTATAAAAAAAGGAGGGGGTTATAGGTGTGGATTTTGAAAATAATAAAATATGTAGATCGTCCACAACCATTCTTTGGAAATCCTTTCAAAATTCTTCGGAAATTCTTTCAAATCTTCAGAACCAATGTAGTGTTTCAGTAACAATAAATATCGGGAGCATGTTCCAACGTAAATCGTCGCTCTCATCTTCTTGGCTTTGACAGTGCTGCTGACGTGTAATCTAATTCACTTGCATTCCTGAAAAGATAATCAGCTATTGTGGGAACCACAACTGAATAACAGCTGCAGCTGGATAAATTATGTCAAATGAGCCCTGAATTAGAGAACCTCAAGTAGAGGCGATTTCAAAATCTTGTTTGAAAGATGCGTGAAAAATAATTCCAAATTTTCTCGTAAAAAGTCTACAAAAAGAGGAGCCTGCAACTCATGGTTTCGCTTTGAGTGAGCTCATCGCCAAATTGGAAGCGGTGAGCATCTTGAGGAGCAGAATGTCTCTGTTAACCTTTCTTATAATGAGAAGACTATTCTGTAATCTACCACTTCGAGAGATAATATACTGGCAATGACAAAATCGTAGACAGAGATCCGCCCTCGGATTAAACTTTTTCAGTTTCTCTCTGCTGTGGTGGAATTCTCTCATCTTGACATCCATGTATACTGAAAAACTGAAGCTTATACTTTTTTGTAGACTTGCTGAGAAACAATCTTTTGTTCGCAATTTGCACAAACGGAAGATTCCTACTTTTCCCAACCAAATACCCGCTCTAACTTTCTAAGACTTTCGGGGGTAGCCACTAGCCACATTCTGGTTTTGTAGTCTTTATCAACAAAAGCTATGACAAAGTCGATAGTAAATGATAGTTACATTGCACATGAAAAATATTCATGTCACTTAATGTATGGCATATCAAACCCCTAGGAGAGGACACTAAATGTTCAAGAAGCCCACGAATTGACGTGTCAAGGAAAAGTGGTGGCGAGAGCGGAAAAAATGTCTAGTCAGAAGATAAGCGAAGCTTCTTGTTGCGTAAACAACTTTTCAAGGGCCTTGTTTTTTTGTGCTGAAATTCCGTTGAGCTCTTCTGCTGGAGTTAGCACAGAAACAAAATGTTTAGTAAGCAGTTTAGTGTTTTGAAACAACAAACGTGTTTTGAAACAACACTAAACTGCAAGCAGTGAATTATTTTACATTTTTTTGCGAGCACAATCTACACTAGTCCGTAACCTCAGCAATATCTGGTCCTCGGTATCAGGTGACCGTATTTGGAGTGAGTCTTATAACGTTTCTACCCGTGGAAAAAGCCGCACTGCGTGATGTTAGTGGAAATTTCCTTGGATTTGATCATATACGCATCGTTCGTTATTGATGATATGTGCCTTTAGCTACTATATATCTCAAGCTCGAAATAGTTTTCTATGTAGAGCTGCTTTCTTGTGAATCATACCGACTTCTTCATTAGCTCTATTCAATCAAAAATGATGAGATTAGCTTTGTTAGATGCGTTTCTAGGCCACTCACGCGAAGTACTTTTGCTCATTGTTATAAAATAATCTCTTTTCATAATCCAGATTTGGTCTGCCGTGTAGAACTTTCTAACTAGAAAATTTAGATAACTGCATATAAAGGGTTCCGTATTTGCTAAAATTGTCAGAGAGTCTTTTGGATGAATGGGAAGAAAGAATGTTCCTCAGCTCGCTTATACGTAGTTGCCCTTTTGTTCAGCAAGAAGCGATGATTTATGACCTGGAGTCTTTTTATGACTGGTATCACTTTGGTGGAAAAATTTCCTGCAACTCAAGCGTTAAGGATCTACATTTGTGAAAGTTAATCTTCCGGCGAAGGCTGCTGAATCGCGGAATAAACTGACCTACACCGTCAGGGATCAGCCTTCAAATAGGAAGCATAAGGTTACGAAATCAAATGCAGGTCTGCTCAAAAGCAACGGATTCATGAAAAGGGCTTTCAAGTATATTACTTGGGGACTCCAGAATGCAGAAATCTCAAGGCTCTAGTATGGAGAGGAATCTAGTTCCCTTCAATGCCCTGTACAGATGAATTTAGGTACCTGGACTTTTGGAAGTGCTAATACGAAGTATTGACCGATCCGTCCCTGAAGCAAAGCTCATTTGATTTCTTCATGGCCGAAGTTCCACTTTGAACTCCGCACAGATGTACTGTATGTGAATGCACCAATCAACGTTCGAGGAGTACGGTACGCGGATTTCACCATCCGAGAAGAGCACAGTGTTTAGGAAGTTGGACCTAGCCACGACTATTGAGCTGCTGCTTGATGAGGATCATGTCTTAGCTAGAGGCCGTCAACCAGATTCATATATCATCAGGTTTGAGTAAAAATCATTTCAACTGCATCTAGAAATAAGCGAACCTTAGTGAAATCAAAAACGAGTTGCTTTCCATAAGTATCCAACCCTGGCCAGGTATGAAACACTATCAAAAGAATTGTTGATTCTAGTCATCAAACGACAACTTCAGTATGGCATTTTCAGCTTTTCATTATCACCTGCTTAGCTTGGCACATACGGGGGGATGGGAGGGAGAAGGGGAGAATGAGATCCTCTCCGTCGTTCTCACTCGGATTTCTGGAGAAAAATGTCAGTATATATGGCAGAATGCAGGAATGACGTAATCTCAAGCTGTCGTTCGCAGAGAGCGGTGTGACTTGTGGGGGCGCAATGGAAAGTGTGTGTGTGCTGCTTGAGGCTATTCCTCTTTCGGCTGCACCTCTAGACCTCCTCCCCCCGGGGGCGCGAGAGCGGGGGGAGCCCCCCACAATCAATAGATGCCAACTCGCGTACATTTCGCATTTGCATACAGCACAAGGTTGTTGTGAGCACGTCATGACAAGCTCAGCCTCTTTGCAAGCCGACTCAAAATAGCTCTGAAATTTTCTGAAGTTTTTTTATCTGCGAACTCCCGCTTTGCTGTTTCTCTGCCAGAAAATACCATCGTAATCTGCCAGCTCTTAACATCTTTCGCTTTTTCTCTTTCATGTAAATAAAGGCGAAAGAACCTTCTAAGGGTGCTCCTGCACCCGAGTTTTTTCTTCTCATAGTCACTGAGCCGTGCATAAGTGCTCGGCCGAACTCCCTCCCTAATGTGCTATCTCTTCTATGGTTAATATCTTCCAAAACAGACTCGTACCAGATCCACGCCCTCGGCCTTCTCTGCCATGGTCGATCGTAATTCTGATGATAAACCTATAGAATACTGGATAAGTTAGTGTTTTTTGCTTTGGAACTCTGCAACTCCACAGTAATACATCGCCACTTGCAGGTCGCTCTACTGATCCATTTATCGATGAAGAAACTCGAAAGCAAAATGTTCAGAAGCTTTGTGATCGCGTGAATTACGAGGTAAGGCTAGAGAACTGTTCTGAGACACCAGTACGTATTTTTTGTAATTTTTTTTGTGGCTACAGTGACATAAAATTGGTCTGACTACGTTCGATCCTTTTTTATTTTTCCTTCAAACTTCAATTGAAAACTATTTATTACTGCCTCCCATTGTGCTCTCAAATTTTTTCCAAAGTGAGAAAACCCAAAAGCACAATGGAAAAGTTCTTTTGCTATGTTAAGCCTTTGTTAAACATCTATGGAATAGTATGTAGCTGCTATCTTCTTTCTAAACATATTAGGATTTCCAGGCTGATGGAGCATCTGTAGCCACAGGTATCCTCGGACACAAAATAGTCAGCCCGGATCAGGATGAAGCACTTTACTCCCTACAGGTAACATTCCTAAAGAGTACGCTTTTTTCTTTCAACCATGGTCAAACTATGTTATGATTTTCATTTCCTTGTGATATTTTCGGTCCAGAAGTTTGAATTCGATACCCTTGCAAACTCTAACAAATCTTTGTAGCAGATCTTTACTTTTGATCAGCATATTGCTTATCGTGTGTCTTTGGGTGTTTTTGGGCTGAAAAGTTTGCCAAAAAGATGAAAACAATAGAGCAACAGCAATTCAAGTCAGAAGCCCTTTTATTTATCAGTTTTTACTACCCAATGTTTTGCTCAATTTTACAATATCTTGCATAGTGGGTATTGGAAAAGACACTGCTTGCAATCGGTGCTTGCATGATTTCGAAATGCAGTTAATAAGACTTACTTATGGACTTCAAAATAGAGAGCTCTAACCAAAAATCGAGTTGAATAAACAATTGCACAGATTCTGAGATTTATAATGTTTTCTACCAATCAACCATTCTTATTGTTAGTATCTTTCTGTGAATAAAATTGCTGTATGGGCCAGTAGAATTGACGGTGAACGACTACTCCTGCGGTGTCGACAACATTTGTGCGTAAGCAGTGACAATGTGCGCTTTTTTCGTTCTCGCAAGCAAAACGTCGGCGTTAAAAAGCATTTCAATTGTTTTTGGTAAAAGCTTTCACCACAGAGGCACTATATTAATCGTCAAGTCCTCGTTTTTTACTTTGATTTGTTGACATACCGGAGCATCAGATTTACAAGCTTTACACCTGTAAAATTTTTTGTTTTGTTGCAATTACACTGATGAATGAATACTGGAAAATGAATGGTGGCCACTGGAAAATGAATGATTAGAACCTTCTCTGTAGCAATCATATTTTTTAAACGAGCCTGTCACTTGCAGTTGAACATATCGCGTTGCTTCATGAATATGTATTTGAGAAAATCTCATTTGCTCATGGGAATTTTACAATAATTGAAAGAGGCAGATGTTTACCTCATTGCTTGGAGATGTCAAAGCTCTTCGTGGTGTGAATCGGTTCATAATATATTAGGTTGAACCGAAAGTTCTGTCCCTCCATTTTCAAAAATTCGTAACTTCGCCAGATTTCAACGGATTTGCTTGCACGTAATTTTATTAGAAAGAATAGATCTTCCGCTTTCAAGCCCTGTTTTGCGGAGCTTCTGTTTCACACTGAGTGCCGAGATAAAAATGGAAAACTAAGACCATGTAAACTTTGACCATTTTAAGTTAGGTCACCAAAAATCTGGAATGCTGCAGAAAAATCTGAAATCGTCAGTACATATGTTTTTTGGCCTACCCTTTGCATCTGTGAAAAGTTTTTGTTTTTTGGACATCTCTGTGAGAAGTTATGAATATCGAGTTTACTATGGATAACGCCAAAATTAATTAATTTGGCAATTTTCGTGAAAATCATAACTTCTCGCAGAAACGTCCAAACAGCGCAAACTCTTCACAATTGCAAAGAGTAGGCCAAAAAACATATGTACTGACGATTTCAGATTTTTCTGCAGCATTCCAGATTTTTGGTGACCTAACTTAAAATGGTCAAACTTTACATGGTCTTAGTTTTCCATTTTTATCTCGGCACTCAGTGCGAAGCAGAAGCTACATAAAACAGCGCTTGAAAGCGGAAGATCTATTCTTTCTAATAAAATTACGAGCAAGCAAATCCGTTGAAATCTGGCGAAGTTACGAATTTTTGAAAATGGAGGGACAGAACTTTCGGTTCAACCTAATATTTGGCGAACAATACTAGGTCCAGCTACCCGCGGACGCAGTATTAGGTGGATTGATGTGACATTTGCTATTAGCACCTTTCGAATTTCCACGGATTCACACTGACATTTCTTACATTTCAAAAACATTCCAACATTTTTATTTGCAGGCTGTTGACCAGTTAGTACGCAAATGCGGAGAGAAAGTGCACAATCGAGTGGGAAAATTTCGTTTTTTAAATCAACTCGTCAAGCTGATCACTCCGAAGTATTTAGGAGCACAAACTTCTCCCGAGGTAAGTAGAAGTCTTCTCAGATTCTTCTTTGTTTTGAATGGCTAGGCTGTCGGCAGCATAGTGGTGTACTCGTTATTTTCTCGAAATTATCCTGGGCAAAGTTACAAATTCCGATTCTTTTGTCACGTAAATACGTCGCGACAGAAAAATCTGTCGCAAACCGTCTTCTCCCCAAAAATAGATGATGTACTGACTTGCTATACTTTGCTTATTTATGGAAAAGATCATGAGCACCTCTGACTCCGAACCCTAACTTTTTCGTTTAGGTCAAGGAACTGGCAATAAAATTACTGTATTCTTGGCAAAAATCGATGCGACATGTGGAAAAATTCAAAGAGGTTACTTATTGTTTAGCATATTACCTACTGGTCTGTAGCATTTCCATTTTGTGTAGTCCTTATTTCAACAACCGCCTTGTCTGTGAATGCACCACCTCCAGATTTTAAGTGGCAGTCGCTTTTCAAAATATACGAATTCCTTTCTTTTCGTCTTAGGATTTTTCGTGTATTTGCACTGAAATTTGAGTTTCAATATAACTCCATCGCAACGGACGTGCTTTACTGTAGATTGCAAAAGTGGTGCAATTACACAAAGCCACCATTGAAATGAGGGCGACTTTGATATATTGCGACACTATTCACCAATATGGAAAACTTCGATAATTTCAAATTTTTCAGGTTTACGATTCACTAAGAGAGCATCACTTGATCACGGCCGATCCTGTCATTCCTGAAGAAGAGATAATGGTTGTCCAATGTGAGTTGTCCTTTCATCCTCATCAAGAAGTTTCTCATCGTAGATAAAATCGAATTGTCTTGCTCGACCATTGCATTCCCCTAAAGTTGCGTTGCTGAATTATTGCAAGGCCTTGCTATACCCAAGGGAAATGTTCGTAAAAGTCCTTTACAGATAGCAGAAAAAAGATCGTGGTGAATAATGTTCAAGTACATCTATACTTTTGGGAATGAGATTATGCTATACTTTTTGCAATCCTCATTTCTGAAACTTTGATGGGATAAAAGTCATGGGTTTATTCATTGCCTTTTATTATCTTCTTCATTCGCTGGGGATTTCCGACTTCTTCGCACAGCTATGAGATTAGAATAAGAATGTGTGCAGCTGTGCTCTGAACATGGTCATTTTTTCTAAGAGTATTTATAACCATTTCTTTGTTTTTTGTACTAATCTAGCCTCATTCTAATAGGGCAAGCAGAAGTGCATAATTTTGCATGCTCTGGATGCGCTGTTGTGCAGTTGCACATAAGCTTTGATTCAACTGGCTTGGCGGCTGGAAGGTGGGGCTTTGTGTTCTAATTAAGGCCGCTCGCGCCCACGAGGCAGTCTGCGTCTCTCTCGTGCTCGTGCTTCTGATCATTCTCTAGCTTAACTAGGTCACAAAGCCGCTTTCCAGCTGCCAAGACAGTTGAATCAAAGGGTATCTTCGCTTTTGCTACCTAACCGTGGTGAATTTTGTGAGATAAGGTCTGTATTTGCAGCATATCCCCCCAAACTAGCGCCATTCGAGGATGAGGAAAAAGCTCGCATACTGAAGGAACTGCTCAAAAGTACAAATCCTGATGATCTGCAAGCAGCAAATCGCCTTATCCAAACGCTTGTAAAAAGTGTATGTACGTTTACAACGTAGATAGACTGAATGTTCCTTATTCTGTTGTCGCTATTGAGGATGGTCCCGTGTGGAGGTTTTTTAGCATTGTAGCGAAAAATCTTCAGGAAGACCAGAAGATAGAGCGAAGGCATAAAAGAGCCGACGAGCTGGAGCAGGCTCGACAGCTATGCAGACGATTGGAGGAGGCCATGATGGATAAAACAGCCGAAGAATTAGGAATCACTGCCAATGTTATATACTCTGAAGCCAAAATGAAGGTACTTAAATCGTTGAAGACCCTCTCAAGCCCTTGCCCGAACATATTACTAATTGTAAGAAGAAGAAAAGTGGAGCTTGCATACTCTTTCATCAATCCAAAATTTGATGAATAGATTAAAACCTACATATCCCGTCCGACAAGGCTGCCATAAAAATTAGTGCATGACTACTGAATGAGAGCAGTAAGTACATGCATTTTCTTGCTAGCAATGTCAATTCGAAATGCATGGGGTAAGAAGGAGAAATTCTTCTTTTACCACAACAAAAAACCTCGCCTAGCTTTTCTCCGTACAGCTCATTAAGCCTAGTCTTTGCACGATATTAGCTTTTTTCTCCACGGCCAATATTTTCTCTCCATCCATCTGAGGAAGCTGTTTTTTTTTCTGAAGCCATTCTCAAACCAATTGAAGTAAATGAAAATTCCCAATCCTCTGAACGTATCCGCTTATTTATGTGAGCTATCGCATGGATACAAATCAACGTTTTTCTAGGCTGCTGGAAGATTTTGGAACTTAAAACTTTCTTTCCAAGATATTACTTGAGAATAATCATTCTCTTATCTATAAAGCTAATGCCAAGATTCTTGAATTTTTTTTTTTTGCCAAGACTTCTCAAACTTATCTCCAAAACTTTCTCATCTCGAGTAACAACATCTCAAAGTTCAGTCATTCAGGCTCTTAAACGGCTAGTAAATTATTTGCTATGCAAAACCGAGACGACACTGACGTCGGTGATTAAGCAAGAATGCTAATGGCGAAAGCCAAGAGAATTTTTTTTCTGACAAAAGTGGCTGCTTTTGCAAAGATGCGAAGCTTCTTTAGCAAAATCGTCTGCAGTTCTTCAGTGAAATGCAAATATTAGAAATTCGGCGAAAATATGAAGTATTAACCGTGCTCGTCCACTATCTTCCCCTTGAAGAATTTCAAAATAAAGTTTTAGACCCTGGCGAATGAGCTAATGGCTGTAAGACCACATTTGTTTCGATTTGCAAGCGATGCTACAGAAAGTGACGAGGATGCCTTGGCTGAGATTCTCGCCGTCAATGATCAGGTGAGATTTTCAAATGCTGTGTCCTCAACCGTCTAATCAAAGCAATGACGAAAATTGTGTCATTTTGAGAATTGTAGGGCATTCGATTCGTCATAGCTTGAGCCTCATGAGGGTAATTTCAAAGTGAGAATGTTGTCATGTAATACTCATAGATAATGATGACTGCTTATAAAAAACTGAGCTATGTATGCTTATTTGCTCGAATTCTTCACTCATTAGCCGAGAAGGTTTAATGTCGCCTATTTTCCGATTGATGTAGGAATGATAAACGAACGGCTATAGGTAGATTCTGAAATCAACAATTATTGCCTTGAACATTAAGCAGAAGTGCTTGTGATTATTTGTTCATCCGAGATTCTGACGACGACGATAGCGCTACTGCGCTTAAGCCCATTATCCTCAGTTTTGGACAAAGTCGGCCTTGCTAAGACTATATACTCAGTATTGGTACTAGATGCCAAGATTTCACGACAGTTCTATATGACAGATGACCTTTTGTTTACCACAGTGAGCAGAATTCGCGAATAATTCATGTCAAAGCCGATCGACTGCTTCATTCGCAGTGTTTTTCTTTGATCGCCACGGATGATCCATCTATTACAACGTGACCTGCAGCTAGAGCTCGATTGTCTCAGTGATTAAATGTTCGCGGCTGTGATCAATGAAAGCTGAAGTGCTGGCAGGAGCGTTTTGTCCGGCAGAAGTGAATTATCCGAAAAATGGCGAGAGAACGGGGCGCACGGAGACGGCGAAGGAGGCGGCGGTGACGAAGCCGATGTCGGTCGGCGGCGGTTGTCGGTAGGAGGAGGAGGGAGGTTGGTTTCGCCGGGCAGCTGCCGGCCGGACAGCCGAGAACGACCTCACCGGCAGAAGACGACTTCGGCTCGACTCGGCTCATGACTGGCCCGGCCGGTGCCGTTTGTGATTTCTGCCGACGGCTGCCGTTCGCCACTACCTCGGTCTCGTCGTAGGCTGCAGCAGCATCTCATTCTGCTCTCGTTCGCTCTGCCGACCGACTTGATTGATTAGGTTGGCAGCGATTCCGTAACCCTCCTTCAGGCCCAGATAAATACGGCACACGCCTGTTTGCAATCCCACCGATCTGCGCTCCTGCACCATGTTCCAGGTACGCTGCACATCTCCATACTGCCGTAGATGGCTCCGAAGCCGTCAGCCACTCCGCTAAGCCATAAACTTTTTCCTCTGCTTTTCGTTTTACGTGTAGATGCAGTGGTACGCTAATGCATTGCATAAGAGATTGGAACCACAGAGCAGCTTGATTTGTGTGGAGTGCTTTTGTAACACTGGGTCCAAAAATTTTTTGATTCTTGAAAGACTTTTAGCTGTGGAGACAACGAGAGAGTGTTAACTTCGTTTACCAACATGCATTGCGGTAAAAGTGCGCTAAAAGAAGTGGCGGAATCAGCAAAACAAAAGATTCTCTTATCTCGTTCTGATGCACCTTGGAAATGATTTTCTTTTTCTACCTCTTCATTATGCATTCACGCTACGACATCTACTATTGATAGTCAAATTGTCAACGATCTCTTCGTCATGCAAGCGGCTTTTACGTTTTGAGTACTCATCCATTTCCTTCCAAATTCTTGTTCTTGCCACAGAAAGTTCTGAGAAAAATGTTGTTCCATCTGCTAGCGAGAGATGATATTACAATCCGTCTCTCTAGAAAAAGATTTGTTGAGCAAATGAAACTTCTCTCCTTAGATTTCAAGAATGATGTCATCATTTTCAAAAGTTGAACATTTCGCTTTCTGCTCGTTTGATTAATGGGGTGATACCCTACATATGTTTCCAATAAACATAATCGTTCTACACTGCATCAGCTGAGAAGAAGCGCCATGCTCGAATTATCCTCTAAATCAGCAAGTTTTTTTATGCGAAGAGAAATTTTGTAGTAATAATATTTAGGTCAACCAGCTCATTCAAAAATATCGCAATTTCTCGCAAACTGGACGTGTACGACAGCACAACGGCGGTTCATCAGAAGAAGCTGCTGGTGGGTTGTTTTCGGCTATTTTTCTACTTTCAAAAATAAATAGATATTGATCCAAACTGCTATGAACCATTCCAAAAAATACAACAAACTTAGCCAAGACCTTCCAAAGGTGGCTTTCGGCGTTTGATTTTGAAGCCGAACCTTTTTCTTCCAGTTTTCTAAGCCTTCTGAGCAGCCTTTACTTCCCTTAATTCAATTTGCAATGTTATCCCAGAAACAGCATCTAAGTGCATTTTCTTCTTCCAGACCTTCTCGGCCCAGAGCCATCCGACTCTCTCACAGCGCCAACGTCATCTACCGTACCATTAGACCTTCATACTGACGATGTTCTGCTGGAACAGAAATGCATCAAGGACGTGCCATGCAGTAGCTCAGAATTCTCCGATGTACCTTTCATCGGATTTGATAGGGTGCGAATTTGACGAAATTAATGGTAGTGGTCGTGAATAGCAAAACAAGAGAAGTGAAAAGTGCATTCCTTTTGCTGTTTGGTGTCTTCCTAAAGAGCCGCTGAGGTTTAGGTGCAATATCCGCGATTTTTCAGCACAATGTCCGGCTAAATAGGATTAGGCGAATTTGAAGCGCTTAGGTTTAGAGTGCTGGCAGCGTCTTGTAGAGTCTCCATTTTGCGGGGACTACGCATCTGCTTCACAAACTTGAGAATGGGAAAAATTTAGAAAAAATAGGCTAGGACTACCCAGATTTGTTATAGATCCTTAGTGATTAGATTTGGTTTCTAACTAAGTTACCACCGATACTTTAGAACCATTGTAATGTACTATGTGCGCTTGCACAGCATGCTCCCCATTCCACGAGTGGAACTATAAACGGTAGTAAAACCGTTTTATACACTTCTTTGCTTTATATACTGTTAGAACGGAAGGAAACAAATAAGTGTGCTAGAATTTGACAACTTGCAGCCGCAAATGTCGCGGAATGCAGTGCGTGGTGTGCAGTACACACATTAAAATGCATGTGGCTCTACTACTGAAATTATTTATATATTTATGAAGGGCAATTATGGTTCTGAAGAGAAAATTTTCGCTGTTCAATAACAATTGCTTAAGCACCATAAAATTTGACGTGGTAATCCCCTTTCCCTCCCTAAGGATCTAATTTTGTTATCTCAAATCGCTTACAGAATCTTCTTTTCCAGTCCATGACCCCGGCGTTGCCTCGCAAGGTAAAAAGTTCACCTTCACCTCAGCCTAGTTCGTCTGTATTGGACGATTTGAGCACTCTCATCGATGGAGATCTCTTCTCCAAGCAGGCACCTGTTCAAACGTAAGATTTAGACATTAATCTTACGAAACAATATGATTGTCTTTTCAGATTTAAGACCACTAAACCCACTCTGAATGATTTGTGCACATCAACCACGGTACCCAACGTCTCTATCAGTCCTCTGGATAGTCTAGGGAGATCTAACTTTGAGGTAAGCTTGGTCAGCTCAACGATTACCTCTATAAAATTAATTTTAGGCCGATCTTCTATCAATATTGCCTGAGAGGATATCATTTGATCCAAATTCAGTGCAGCTAGGTGTGAATAACATTTTATCTTGTGAATTACTCTATATAATCTAAAATTGCAGCAAATGTGCCTCCGAGAACGGTGCTTAACAAACAAAATATCCTTATCCTGCTTTACAAGTAAGAGAGAGCTGTTATTTTATTAGCACAGCTTTAAATTATGAGGTGTTTCTTTTTCAGCTGCATTCCTCAAGCCCATCAATCAGCCCGAAGTTTTATTGTCGCAATCATCAACACAAATGTAGAAAAATTACGACATCTTCGGCTTACAATGAGCACTGCTAATAAGGTAGGAAAGCTTTTTTGACCTAGTATACTCGTGCTCGTTTTTTTTGATTAATTCGAAAAAAAATTCAACCAAGTTAATCTGAAAAAAAGAAATAATTACCTTTTGATCCAACTGGATTGGCGGCTGGAAGGCGGTCGTGACTTACGTTAGTTAAGGCTAAAGATTGATCATAGAGCACGAGCGCGAGAGAGACGCAGACTGCATCATGGGCGCGAGCGGCCATTATATTCACAAAGCCCCGTCCAGCCGCAAATCAAGTTGAATCAGAGGTAACATAACAATGTGTATGCTGTTCCAGAAAGCCTCTGTCAGACTAGAGGATAAAGGTGCTTTGGATCTGGCCGGTGTCACGCCAAATTCGCCTATCGCCACCGCATTTCTGATGCTTTGTGTATTACCGCTGGATGATATACATGAGGTAAACAGTATTCTAATTAACCATAACTTATCACATTGTGAAAATCCTTACAGGTCGACTTGGACTTTTCATTGACATACACGCTGCAGTTCGAGAGATCCATCACGGGCAATATCATCGTAGCGCTTTAAAATCGCCTTGCCAGTCTCATTTTCATGAGCTCAAGCTCATATGTGAATAATGAATCGCCATATCTTGTCGCTGCACCGTATGCACATAAAAATTGAAATGTCTCTTTGCATATTGGATTATCCTTCGAAGACATTGCCTCTGGCTTGAATTCTAGCAACAAAAATTCATTAGACTGCACACCTTAGCCGCTTGAACTGGAAAGGACATTGTACAAACTATTTCACGTCATGTCAGAAAGTCTCGCTTTACTTTAAAGGAGTAGTTTAGCAATTTGACGGCCGGAGTGAACCTGCGGTGACGACAACAGTTGCGCGTAAGCCATAAAGCGCCGGCCATAAAGCACAGCGCACACATTCAAGTTTAGCTAGTGCTGTGCAAAAACTGTACATACAATTAATAAGATCAAACATTTTCATAGATCTTCATATTCTATACTCTTAGTTTCTAGCTTCCTTGCAGAAAGCTGCACTGATTATGAAAATAACCTAAAAATGGACGAGATGACATCATGGCATTGCGGACCCACAGCACAAAAAAGTGTCTGCAAGGATTTACAAATTAGTATAATTGAATACATTATGATTGTGCAAGTCCTGCTAACTGAAAATAGTTCAATTTTCAATTTATACGCTTTTAGCGTTCATTATGCATTTCAGGGGGCTACGTTTTTTCAGTCATTTTTTTTGTATATGCCATATTTAGCAAGAGTTTGTAAGCATCACAAAGGTGTTAGAAAACGACACTTATGGCTATAATGCATTTCCGACTTTCATCTACTATCAATCAGGTTTACTGTAATCAACGTTATAACACAGAGTACGGAAAGAATTAGCCGCAGTAGCTTTTATAACAATGAAGAACGTTTCCTTATCCTTTCCATCTAATCAGCTGGCTGAAGAGATAAATTCGAACAACAGTGGTGGAAGTAGTGCAGTATACTTGGGTAATTCGAGAATTTTTCATCGAATGAATGAATATCGAATAAATTCGAAAAGGAAGAATTTCGAATAAACGAATATCGAATAAATTCGGAAAATCAAAAATATCGAATGAATGAATTTCGAATAAATTCGGAAAATCAAAAATATCGAATGAATGAATTTCGAATAAATTCGAAAAATCAAAAATATCGAATGAATGAATATCGAATATATTTGAACATTGGAAGTCGAATTTCGAATAAATATTCGAATGATTTATCGAATAACTAAAGCAATCACATCTCAAACTTGCCGACATATCTGGCTAGAGCCGATCCAATCATAATCAGCCCCCTAGTATCCCCTATACCAACTCCTAGCTCAAAATTTTCCAAAAATTGCTGAAATCGATAAAATATTTCGATTTTAATCAGCATTTTCGTTTACCCCCTGTACCAACTCCCAAGCAGTAGCTCGAGATTTTCCAAAAATCGACAAAATTTATAAAGTAAATTTTTATCCATAACAGCACCCTCACTTACCCCTTGTATCAACTCTCAGCCCCGCAGCTCAAACTTCCCCAAAAATCGATAAAGTCGGTCTGTCGGCTTCTAGTCTATACATCAGCAAAAAGTCATATGTTACCCATTATGGACGATCTAAAAAGCAGTCGATATAAATTTTTATGCTGTGCCCAAAAGATTCTTCTAGATAGTCTGAAAGAGACTGATGTACACCAGAATTAACTTTATTTCTTATCAGCATCAGCAATGTAAAAGCAAAGGGCTTGCTTTACTTTCTACATCAATTAAAATCCACATATAAGCTCCTGCAAGACGAAGGCGGTCGGCTCGGTGTGCAACGCGGCTGCGACACTACTGCGTCACAGCCGCGTCACAGCCACGCCGCACATCGAACCGACCGCCATCGTCCTGCAGGAGCTTATATGATTTTTTTACTGTCGCAAGCAGTCGGAAGAATGCGACTCTCCATACAGTTCAAAGGTATAACGGTTGCAAAAGATGCATTACGAGTTTTGCGAAAAAAAACGCGGACGAAGTGAGCTTGATACTGAGCAGTTGGCTTTGCAACAAAGTCGAATAATCTGCATACGGAGGCATTCGAATACGAATTCGAATAAACATTCGAATAAAACATTCGAATAAAATCTATTCGAAACCCCGTTTTTTAATTTCGAGTTTTCGAATAATATTCGAAACCTCGTTTTTTGATTATTCGAGTTTTCGAATTTTATTCGAAACCCTGTTTTTTGATTATTCGAGTTTCGAATATCATTCGAGACCCTGTTTTTTGATTATTCGAGTTTCGAATATCATTCGAAAATGGAAGAACTCCGAATATCGAATTTCGAATACGAGTATATTCGAATGCTTTATTCGAATGATCGAATTTCTATTCGATTCGGACCCAAGTATATAGTGCAGTATATAACCTAATCAACGTGACGTGAGTTTCTCTTTACGGAATCCTCGTGAACACACGGGAGACCGGTCTTCGTTGAGTGGTCCCGCGTGGACATCTACAACAAACCACGCACGTTTATACATTACAAGCTGTACCAGCCGTCCTCACGGGAGGAGTGATAATCGTCATATCGTCTCCTATCTACTCGGCACCCATTATGGCATAAACAATCTGGTGAAAAAGACATAAACATTTTGCTGAAATAGTCTTAAACAAATGCTTCTCTGCAATTGCAGGAGCACATGGTGTGCAAATGCACACTTTTTATTCTAGCTTTGCTATCATGGCCTTGCACAGTGCTTGCACTTGTTCTTATACGAGAATTTCGAAGCTGTCAAAATACTCTTGCGTACGATGTTGGTGCTGCGTAAATCTACTACTTATGCTACATCCAGGCTGTTTTTCCAACAGTATCGAAATGTGGGGTGTGATTTCATTTTGTAATTCTCACTGTACTTTGAGCGTGGCGGATGCTACAAAGTTTTAAAAAGTTTTTTTCGATGCATTTATTTTTAGCCTGTGTGACATTCGATGTCAATTGCTTCGAATCATATGCTGTTCTCGATTTGTCTTCCTGTATCATATAGATTCATCAAGGCTTTTTACTGGAGAAAGAGGAGGCGTGTGCAAGCGTTTACAAGAAACGAGTGATCCGGATAAACAGCGCATATTTTACTTAACAAAAAATAAGGTATTGCATTTTTTGTGAATTGCTTGAGTCTCTTTTTCTCGCTCTTACAAATTCTGGGTTCTCGCACTTGCATACTTTGGGACTCTCATATTTTTTAGTTGTACTGGGTCCATGTCTATCTCAGCCTCTAAAAGTTTTTGAATCACTTTTTTGGAAGTGTTTATGCTGAGTAAGTGTGCAGCGAGAGCGGTCGGTCAACCAGTCGCCGCTGGGATAAGTGGAAACTTGGCAGACTTTCGACAGAAGACCCAAGCGGTGAGTGGTTGATTGAGCGCTCGAGCCACACCCATTCAGCATCTCGCTTCCCAAATTTTTTTCAAAAATCTCAAAATTCCTGAAATTCCTCCATATTAGAACGAATTTTTTGCAAATCTGATTCTGGACTGATTGTAATAGGAGATCATGGCAAAATACCCAAGATTAGTATAGTGCTCACTCTATTATTCGATCGACCACATTCTGGTGTTATGGCAAAAATCATTGATGATAATTACTACCACTAGTGATGATGCGACAAACAAAAAGGGAAGTCTCGCTTCCTCAGCAATTTCCGCAAATGATAGGTCTCACACTGCGGCAACAAGAATATAATACTCTCAGCAGACGCTTTTCAATATTTGCAAATTTGCAAGGTGCAAATTGAGTGGTCAATGAGATTTTCGGCAATACTCCGAAGACCACACTTCCCCGTACACTTGCTTATCTGCTCATTCGCTCTAGTAAAAGCAATGTAATCACTGCTATAGTTGTTAGTCTACTTTTGATATTCTTGCTGACTATACTTGTAATTTTTTGATGGCGAGTCAGGGCGCGGCACAGCTGGCACCGGGTCAAGCTGGATATCGTTTTTGGGACAAAGCAAAGAGTTTTCGTTTTTGTGGCCGGAAAAACACAAAAATTGCGACGTTTCGTTTTTTTAAGAGTTTTTTACATTCAGGGTTTAGGGTCAAAAGGGACTTCGTACGAAATTTTTCAAAATCATGTGACTTCGTTTCGAAAATATCTGGTGTTAAATCGTGGCGAGTCCTTCCATATTGCCTCTCCTTATTTCTTCTCATGACAACAAAATCTTCAAAAAACATTTGATTAATTTTTTAATTATTCTATCAAATTTGAAATTTTTGAAAATTTTTGATCTAATTACTAATTTTTAAATAATTAAATTACTATAAGTCTAGTAATTTTATTTTTATCACCAAACAAATTTCTAATTTTTACGTAAACATTCATAAAACTAAACTCAAAAATACTTCAAATTATACTTTCTATATTGAAATTTAACTAACAAATATAAAGTTCTAATAAACACTTATTTGAACAAATATCCCAAAAGTCGACTTACAAAACATTTGTTGCGTTTTGTGAACTTCGATCCTGACTCAACATTTGGAAAGCCTTCAAGGGGAGAGGGGGGGGGGGGGGAAGGAGAGGCAGTTTCAATTTAGATAGTCATCCGAACCTTGTGGCTGGAGTTTCTTGATAGGAGACGTTCTAAAAACGTTCTCTATAAATGCAAAAAATTGGAATGTAACAGTAGAATCAAAAAGATGAAGTACCCCAATTCGATAATGAAGCTGAAGGCGATTTGTGCATACCTAGAGATCTATCGTAGCCTAATCTAATACTCTTCAGTTTTCCCGCAAACTACACAAAATTATTCAAGTCCAAGCGAACTGAAACATAAGTACTAAATTAGATCACTGTCCCCTATAAGATCGCTGCTCCCCCTAGAGAAGAAACTTTCAAAGGGTTCAGCATTCTGCTCGGCACTCTTGCATTAGAAACCAGAAAATCCGCGTTTTTTTGCATGCTTACCCTTTCACAAAGTTTTTTCAACATTTTACAGCAAAGGTACTATAGTATATGGACTAATGTCTTCGATGTAGGGCAATTTTTTGTGAAGCATTGTTCTGCAAGCTGTATAGAGCGACTGCATGGAAAATGAAGATGGAATGCACTTTGTAGGTTAGTTCAGTCAAACCCTTGTTTTCGAGCCTCACATGCA